TTCGACAGCTGGTCGTACTGTCATCATCTAGGCACTACTCAAACTGAACGTGTCATTGTTGTATGTCTTTTTATACGGTCCGAACGCCTCAATTCAGGTACTCCAGGTATTTTAGGTAAATTTGCCTGTATTTGGGTTACATCAGGTACTATTCTGTGTGTTATACAAATTAATCTGAGTAAATAAATAGATTATTATTATTAACTGATAATCCGACAGCTTTGAAATTTGTACAAGGGTTAACTGAAAATCATATGGATTTAATACTAGTAGCGCCATCTGTGTGTTAGCCTACAAACTTCAAGCCCACCTGACATGACATGATGATGCCACATTTGACAGTTATACTGCCACCAGGATAGTTCTAAATTCAATTGAGGCTGGAGATTCCAATTTTATTCCTCAATATATATTTTTTTGAATTAAATTAGGATTCCCTAAAATACAGGTTAGCTAACTTAAAATATAATATAATCAACAAAATTTATATTAATAACACAATTTTATATAAGTACATAATTTTCTTGTATTTGTTCTATTTATATGAATGTGACTATTGTGCCTAGAAGAATGGTGATGAATGTCCTCATTGAAAGTTATTAATGATAGCAAGTTTGGTGGGGTCATTTTATTTAATATATATTTTTTTTAATTTATTGAATTAGGATTCCCTAATATACAGGTTAGCTAACTTAAAATATAATATAATCAACAAAATTTATATTAATAATACAATTTTATATACGTACATAATTTTCTTGTATTTGTTCTATTTATATGAATGTGACTGTTGTACCTAGAAGAATGGTGATGAATGTCCTCATTGAAAGTTATTAATGATAGCAAGTTTGGTGGGGTCATTTTATTTAATATTTTATAAATGAAAACCATGGAACAATAGAATAATCTTTTAGATACTGAGAGCCATTGTAGGGCAGATAGCATGGTAGAAATTGGTGTACACCTATTACATTTTAAAATTATTTTCATTCCTCGATTTTGTAGTTTTTGTATTTGTTGCACTTTGTTCAAATTAAAAGAGAATAAAATAGATGCACAGTAGTCAAAATGGGGTTGGATTATTGATTTATATACCATAATTTTTGTATCTGTTGATAAGTTATTGGCGATTCTTGAGAAAAAATATAATTTTTTTGCAATCTTTTTTTCAATATATTTGAAGTGGTCGTCGAATGATAAGGAATTATCCAGTTGAAATCCCAAATACTTCACTGATGTTACTATTTCTATACGTTCATCTTCAATTTTTATATTTATGTTGTTTGCATTCATTTCATTATATTTGAATTTAGTAGTAATTATCATTGCTTTTGTTTTTTCAACGTTAAGTTTCATTTTATTGGTTTTCTGATATTTTTCTACTTTCTCTAGAACTTCATTCATTCTGCCAACAGTTTCTTCTAAATTTGCTCCAGTACAGGCCTGCAAATAAGTTAATGAACTCACAGTCTGTAATTGAATATCATTCAGATACAGAATGAATAATGGGGACCAAGCACACTACCTCGTGGCACTCCTGTGTGAATTGGTTATGCATGATGAGAAATAATCGTTCACACGTACTCTCTGTTTCCTATTTGATAAATAATGACTTATCAATACGATTCAAAAGTCAAAATATTTAGAATACAACGTCACTTACTGACGGTAGTGGTATTGTCCCTCTCTGGCCTGGCATCCGGCCCCGTATCTGACCAATCCCCCCTCAACCTCAATCTCCTCACGGGCGGAGGAGACATTCTCTCCCTCTTCCCGGTCGCTGCTCTGAGTTTCTCCCATGGCGTCAATTTTCTAATAGGCTTCTTGAACTGCACCGTGTTTTTATCCTACAAACAAAACAGTCCTCACCAACCAACTCAGTCAGTGGCCTCGGCAGAGCGCCTCGCGGAACACCTACCTGCACGGTGAACAGATACAAATATTCGGAGGAATAGCTGACCAGCATGTCTTCTCCGTTCCCGCTGAAATTCAGAGAGGTGATTCTGCTGTGCGGGTTCGTTCCGAAATGCGGTGGCAAGAAGGCGCAGAAAGGCTGAGCTTTGAAGTGATCTGCAATTTCAAATGAATAAAGATGACCTTCGGGTTGAACGAGCAGTGAAAAGTAACGTACCTCCAGGTTGGGTTCCCAGAAATCTTCTATCGTAGATACGAACGGTGGAATCGGAACAACCTGCAGCTAGTTGGTGAGAAGACATCGGATTGATGGCGAGTGCTGTAACAGCATTGGAACCCGACACGAGTATGTCGTCTTTGCAACGAGGTTTGAAACAACTGAAAAACATCTCTAATTTCAGAACAAAAACCTCAGTTACATCCATACCTGATAGTTAGTAGTGTTTACCTAGATTTGGTTCGCAAATCGAACCCTCGAAGAGTGCCGTCTTCCCCACAACTGACAAAAGTGAAGGGCTCGTTTGGAATAGTTACAACTTTATAGGTGGTGGTTCCTCCGTGGCAATGAAACTGATTATTGCATGATTCGTCGGGCCTGTTCAGATCTATAATATAATCAATCAGATATTGAATGGATTTTTTCTTGAGGGAGAACATCAAGGTTTGTTATTAATAATAATAATAATATTTGTTTCTTTGGTTGAAGAGTAAAGTTGACAGAAATCAATGCACAATAAACAAAGAAAATGTCAATT